ATGACGGACTTCAGAACATGCAAGTACTACCAGCACTCCCATTTGTAACATCTGAAAGCAGATGTGCCTTCTTTCCTGAAGTAAGTATTGTACATGTATGTATAGGGTGTCCTGCTCAAGCAAGGGGTTGAACTAGAAGACTCCAAGGCCTCTTTTATTATTTGATGTTCTATGATCCCAGAAAAGACAGCAATTGCATTTGGTTTGGTTATTAAAGTAAGTCTGTGTACTCCAAACTACATTCTGGAGCATAAATAACAAACAACCAGAGAATGAGGAATTAACTTTAAATAAAACAAAACTTTAATCAAAGTATTTCTTAGCATTGCTGTGTGGACCGCCATCTTACATGGACACTTACACATAAGCTATTTCCGCTGACCAAGCTCCCAATATCAGTACTTGGATTGGTGGTGTTGAGGCATCCTACTTTTGCAAATGAGGCACTAGCTGGATTTATGTCACTCCTTCAACCCAACATTAAGTAGCAATGCAGAACAGTCCTGCTTTGCAGAGTTATTGACCAACAGCATTTTAACAAAGCCTGTTATCAAATCTCAGGCCATGTGTCCTGTTCATAGTGTAGTGTCTCATGTGAACAAAGAAAATTGAGTTGAGAAAACTAGGATGATAAATTAGGAATATAATATCATGTTAACATGCTCTCTTAATTGTATGAGAAGGAAAAGCAACTATGCAGCAAATAAATCCAATTTTGAACTTTTAAAGAAAAGACAATGTAATGCCAGCTATTTGGCTAAGTTACTGTCTTCCTGCTCCCACTGTAAAGATGGAAAAAAATATTTCTATTGCTTTCTCAATAGCTTCATGGAAGCGTTCAATATGTTCACCTTGTTTATTGCTGAATAAATGAATGTTAGTAATTTTTCCTCTTTTTCTTCCTGCTCAAGCTCATGTTTAAGGAATTTAAGCTTATATTAGAGTCAAAGGAGAAACCATTTCAAAGTCCACCAAACACTAGGCAGTTAAAATAGATACTATTCCTCAGCCAATATGAAGCAGAAAGAAAAGCTGAAATAAAGTTTATACATAAACATTTCCCTGCAAAGAATAACAATTGCCGCCACCACTAGTTTTGGAAGTGGTTGAAATGGAAGAATTTACTAATGTCTAGGTCTGAAAAAAATATTATTTGTGCAATGTGGTGTTAATGTTGCACTAGAGATGCATAATGTTGGGAAGAGATGAGCTTTTGGCACACATTGTAACTCCTAAATCAGCACCAATTCTCATGTTATCTACTTGTTGGAGATTAGTGCATATCGAGAGCTCAGTTTCTTACGGCTAACTGTGGAAGACATCATTTGGATTTAATACAGCAGAAACTTAAATGGCTTGTGTACTTTTGGTGGCATTTTCATGTAATTAGGAGATTCTTATGAAGGATGAGAAAATGAAATGACTCCCANTATTATTAAAAATGAACAGATCTTTCATATGAAAGCATATTCCAATATATGAAACGACTTCACCTGTCTGGAAATGTGAGAAGTTCATTGTGAAAGAACTATCAGTACTTTCAGAAACGGTGCTATTAATAAGAACTACATGGACACCTCAAGGGCTTCTATGGAAATGGCTTACAGATCAACTGATAGGGGCACTGGCTGAGAAACTGCCTCCATATAAGGTCTGTTAAGAATTCTATAACCAAAATGGCATTATAGTACAATGAAGCTGGATGCAACATTTCCAGCACGCTATTTGCTTGTGAGTTTCCTCTATCCAATTTCAAATGGAGGGTAACAATTGTAAAATCCAGCATAGCCACCCAAAAAATAGATGCTTCATAAAGTTGTATATTCGTCTACTTCCACAGTGTCATCTGTTAGGTCTCACTCAATGGTATTCTGGAACAGCAGACAGTTAGATTTCATTCTGCTTGAAGATCTCCAGATTCAATGCAATGCCCTGAATTGCTAGTTCTTTGAAAGTGTTCAAAAAAATATGTTACAGAGGAACTTCCCAGTCTCACTCATAAACACCAGCTTGAGGGTTTTTTCCTTAGCATGAAAAAGACCAATTGTTAAGAACAGCCAGTCACCAAAAGATGGAGCTCTTCTACTATTCTCTCCTCTTAGCTTGTGGTTGAAATAGGATTATATAAAAAGTTGGCAAGACTTTTCATTTGTGAAGAAAGACCAAGTAAGCCTTAATTATATAATATACTGTTCTGTATGCAAATAAGAGCAGGTTTGCTGTTGGGAATAGAATATATAAACAGAAACCTGCTGAAAATGGTAATAGTAATCTATGCAATAGCTACAATACTGTGAGAAGAAATTATAACTTTTGGACCAACTGAGAGTTTACTTAGTCCTAAGTAGCTGAAATGAATTTCATTGTTTCATTTCTGGTTTACAAAGACCATAACTGATGTTTTGTTTTGACTTGGAGATACTCTACAGGTTTGTGATTTATGATAAAACATCTTAGTCTGTGAACTAATAGCTTCAATTAAAATATCCTCAATTAGTTTAGGAAGAAAACCAAACTCAAATATCTCTCATATTGGATGAATGCAATATAATCTCTAAGATAGAGAATCTGAATGGATAAAGAACGTATTAAGCACCAATGTCCAATTAACATGACTGTATTGGTATAAAAGAGATTTTAAGCTATGGATTGTATGCCTAGTACATGCTCTCTCTACCCCTATCCCCTGCCATGTCTACTAGAAGAGGCAGCAGGCCTGGAAAAGACTACAAATTTGCAAAAAGTCAAATCATACTCTGCAAAGAATAATGCTACCAATTTGGAGGTTGCTTCTGATATAGGGTAAACAACTTCTCTTATCCAAGGAAAACCACTGACTACATTTAATACAAGTCTTCAGTTATGCTTAGGTTTGTTAAAAAGTCCAAACAAGTTCTGCACCACATTTTAATACAGCTTTATTTGACTAAAGAGAAATTGTATATGTGCTTTTTAATTCTCAGAAGAAGGAATAGAACCACATTTATTCAAATGTACGAAACAGTTTTTCTATTAGAAGACATTCTGATCAGCAGAAAAAGGTAACGCCTAAGGGAAATGCGTCCTTAATTCCAGCGTAAAGATTGCATAAAGCCTTAAAAGCCAACTAATCTATCTCCTTTGACTTTGAAAAAGCAGGATAAAGTAGAAAGAGCATTAATGCTTTTGAACTTTGGTTTTGGAGAAGACTCCTGAGAATACTATAGCAAAGAAGAAGAAAAAAGCCAAAAGCCAAAAGCCAATGCATCATAGAATAAATCAATTCAGAGCTCAAATGATCTGGGTCAAATTATCATACGTTGATTACTCTATGCAAAAGACTATAGTTCTTTTGAAAAACCTACAGTATAATCAGTGGTGGGTTTTTTCTTCTTCTTTGCTATAGTATTCTCAGGAGTCTTCTCCAAAACCAAAGTTCAAAAGCATTAATGCTCTTTCTACTTTATCCTGCTTTTTCAAAGTCAAAGGAGATAGATTAGTTGGCTTTTAAGGCTTTATGCAATCTTTATGCTGGAATTAAGGACGCAT